AGACCCAAAAAAAAAAATCCTCTCTGGAGGAGAATGTTGTTTAAGAGGCCTAGAATCAGCCAGGCAGTAATGATTTATTACCTGGTCAAGGAAGAAGAGCTGTGGCCTTGAATGAAAAGATTAGGGATTTTGTTAGGTAAACTTACAGGTGTGTAGATAGGAAAGGTGCACCAGCAAGGGTAGTGGTAGGCACATTCCTGTGCACGCTCAATTCAGTGTCCTAATCATGGTCTAACAGGATGAACACTAGCACCTTTGGTACAATTTAACATTATAATAAGGTTAAGTTTACTTTGGGTCATTTAAAAAGAATGAGCCAGAGTATCTCAATGATTTGGGATGGTTTGTGTAAATTTCTTCTTTTTTTTGTTTGTTTGTTTTTTTGGTCTGGTCGTGGGGCCTGAACTCTAGGCCTGGGTGCTGTCCCTCAGCTCTTCAGCTCAAGGCTAGTGCTCTACCATTTGAGCCACAGTGCCACTTCCAGCTTTTTTTTTTTTTTTCTGCTTATGTGGTGCTGAGGAATCGAACCCAGGGCCTCATGCATGCAAGGCAAGCGCTCTACCACTGAGCCACCTTCCCAGCCCTGTGTAAATTTCTTCTAAGATCCTTAGCTGGCACACACACACACATACACACACATGTACACACAGACACACACGCGCGCACACACACACACACGGAAAAAAGAAAGAAAGAAAGGCTGGTGGGCAGACATGCAAACCCAAGTGCTGGGTAGGATGTGAATCAACTAAAGTTTTCATTGATTGCTGACTAAATAAATTTAATATAAATGTTTTGGGATTTTCATAAAGTCCTAGCTAAATCTCCAAAGCATTATATCAAGTGAGAGAAGCCAGATACAAAAGACAACAGTAAAATCAGTCCATACACAAGATAATATGGGAAAGAGGCGGTGGAATAGTGATGGACTGAGGTTGGTAAGACTCCCCAAAGTCAGGCCTCTGACCTATAACTTTGGTAACAGTTTTGTTATCTATAGGATACTGGAAAACTATGTATGGGAAAACCAACCACATTTAGAACTCAAGATGGCTTGGTAAGTTTCTGCTAAACTCCTACACTCTATTGCATGATAAGCAGAAATTGATTTGGGATGGATTTTTTTTTTGCAGTTCTGGGCCTTTCGCATACTAAACACTCAACCCCTGAGCTATACTCAACCACTGAGCTATACTCAACCACTGAGCTATACTCAACCACTGAACTATACTCAACCCCTGAGCTATACTCAACCCCTGAGCTATACTCAACCCCTGAGCTATACTCAACCCCTGAGCTATACTCAACCCCTGAGCTATACTCAACCCCTGAGCTATACTCAACCCCTGAGCTATACTCAACCCCTGAGCTATACTCAACCACTGAGCTATACTCAACCACTGAGCTATACTCAACCACTGAGCTATACTCAACCACTGAGCTATACTCAACCCCAACCAATATTTCTTCATCACCTGTCCTTCCAGTGCACAAAGTCCCTGAGCCAGACACGTCAGGAAACAGTGAAGAGAGCAGATCTGTTCGTGGGGAATTCTGACACAAAATAAATACACTACTACTGATGTCCTGAAGAAGGCCATGGGTTTGAGAATGGTATAGGTATTCTGTTCTACTTAGGGAAATTGAAGAGGCTGAAGAATGCCTCTTTGAGATGACATTTGGTCAGACTGCTGGACTTCTTTTTGCTCTACTCAGATAAGAATTGTGGGTAGTCATAGAGGTAGCCTAAGGGCTGGACTAGCGGACTCAGGACACTTACAATTCCAAACCCTGACAATTTGGGGCCTATTGCTCCAGGCTTTAGTTGGAGGGTTGCTGGAATTTGGTAGCTATTATAATCCTCAGCTTCCAGCAGTAGTGACTAGCAACCAGCAGGTGGTGGTAGCAGACAGTACCTGCTAATGTTCTTAAACAGGCCTCCTGTATTAGGACGTTCAGCTTCACAGTGGCCAGTGTTAAAGAGTTCACGGGTCTAGAGTATGAGACCCTTGACTGTTTTGTTGTTATTGTTGTTGTTTGTGGAGCCTGGGCGCTGTCCCTGAGCCGTTCTGTGCTCAAGGCTAGTGCTCTACCACTGGAGCCATAGTGCCACTTCCAGTTTTCCAGTGGTTAACTGAAGATAGGAGTCTCATGGAGACTTTTCTGCCAGGGTTGGCTCTGAACCCTGATCCTCAAATCTCAGCCTCCTGAGTAGCTAGGAGTACAAGCATGAGCCAAGGGCACCCAGCAAACCCTTGATTCTTAAGGCTGATACCTCCCTGGGATGCTTCCCGTAACTAGGACTACACTTTCTCATCTCCAGTTCTACAGGGCCATTGTTGTCTTTGCCTCTTCTCCTTGCCACTCCTAGTCACTCCCTGGAACTCTGCAGCCACCTTCTCCTCCTACGGCCATCACAGACTCCCACACTCCCATGGGCTCAAAAGGGTACAGCACTTGCCTAGCAGTGAAGTTTGAGTCCCAGTACAGTCTCAGTCTCTCTCTCTCTCTCTCTCTCTCTCTCTCAAACACATACACACACACACCACACACGAAAGAAAAAGAGAAAAAAAAAGCAAGATAAAGTCTGTTGGTCAGAAGGGGAATGGTGGCAGCGGTGTTTGCACCCAGATTGTTGGTACCTCTGCTGGGCTACTGAGAAGTGTCCCCCCGCCAGCCTGGGTAAAACACTGCCATTAAGAGTTCACCAATGTTTGTTATCCAGTGTCTAAAACGGTTGTTAATGTTAAGAAACTGGAGGAGAAAGGAAGAAAACAGGCTGGACTCGATTTCCATCAGGCTAGGACGGTTTGTTGACGTACAGCAGTGAGGCTTGGAGACTGTGCAAAGAGGTGGGCCAGAAGTTGGGTTTTTATGGGGTCGGAGCAAGGAGGCAGAGGTTAATGGAAAAGCCCTTAGGCCTAGGGAGCTGGGGGGCTTTACGCTGGGGCCCAGGATGGCCTGTTTACAGCCAGGCCCGGGGGGGGGGGGGGGGCTGCCCTGCCTGTGTCAGGCAGTCTGCGGTCTTTGGGGGCTCACCTGATGTCTGTGTGCACCTGGGAAGCAGGGTGAGCCATCTTTCTGATAACGTCTTCCGGAGCTGGAGCTGGGCGGCGGCAGCAGCTGCGGGCCGCTGTGCACTGTGCCCACAGACTGGGTGGAGCGGACAGGCTGGCGCGGGGAGACAGTCAGTCCAACCTGGCTGCCCGGCTGACAGTCACCCACGCAGGACGGTGGAGGCACCAGAGAAGGGAACGGCTGCCCAGGACTGAGTAAGGTATGGGGTGAACAGGTTAGCTTATTTAAAAGAAAAGTGAACATGAAAAGGAGGCACTGACAATAAGGCCAGTTTTGTTACCAGCAGTTTAACAGTGCTTAACGGTGCTTTAAAAGTATTGAACCAGCCGGGCACCGGTGGCTCACGCCTGTAATCCGAGCGACTCAGGAGGCTGAGATCTGAGGATCAGGGTTCAAAGCCAGCCCTCCCCCCCAAAGTCCCTGAGATCTTATCTCCAATAAACCACTAGAAAAGAGGTAGAGCGCTCGCCTTGAGCTGGAGAGCGCAGGGACAGCGCCCAGGCCCAGAGTTCAACCAAATAACCTCGGGGTAGAGTTAGGGCACGGGCTCCTGAGGAAGTGCCTTCCAAGTGCGTGTGGGGGGGGGGAGAGGAGGGGGAGCCAGGCCCCGGGACGGATCCTCTCTCAGGGAGTGGGGGACCCCGGGGCTGGGTCCACTTTCGGGGAGTGACGGGGTGGGGGGGAACCCTGGGGCTGGGTCCCTCTCGGGGAGTGACGGGGGGGGGGGGACCCCGGGGGAGTGACTGGGGGGTACCCCGGGACTGGATCCACTCTCGGGGAGTGACGGGGTGGGGGGACCCGGGACTGGATCCACTCTCGGGGAGTGACGGGGTGGGGGGACCCGGGACTGGGTCCACTTTCGGGGAGTGACGGGGGGGGGGGGGGGGGGGGGGGGAACCCTGGGGCTGGATCCGCTCTCCGGGGCTGGATCCGCTCTCCGGGGCTGGATCCGCTCTCCGGGACTGGATCCGCTCTCCGGGACTGGATCCGCTCTCCGGGAGTGACGGGGGGGGGGGGGGGGGGGGGAACCCCGGGGCTGGATCCGCTCTCCGGGGCTGGATCCGCTCTCCCGGGCTGGATCCGCTCTCCGGGGCTGGATCCGCTCTCCGGGAGTGACGGGGGGGGGGGGGGGAACCCCGGGGCTGGATCCGCTCTCCGGGGCTGGATCCGCTCTCCGGGGCTGGATCCGCTCTCCGGGAGTGACGGGGGGGGGGGGGGGGGGGGAACCCCGGGGCTGGATCCGCTCTCCGGGGCTGGATCCGCTCTCCCGGGCTGGATCCGCTCTCCGGGGCTGGATCCGCTCTCCGGGAGTGACGGGGGGGGGGGGGGGGAACCCCGGGGCTGGATCCGCTCTCCGGGGCTGGATCCGCTCTCCGGGGCTGGATCCGCTCTCCGGGAGTGACGGGGGGGGGGGGGGGAACCCCGGGGCTGGATCCGCTCTCCGGGGCTGGATCCGCTCTCCCGGGCTGGATCCGCTCTCCGGGGCTGGATCCGCTCTCCGGGAGTGACGGGGGGGGGGGGGGGGGAACCCCGGGGCTGGATCCGCTCTCCGGGGCTGGATCCGCTCTCCGGGGCTGGATCCGCTCTCCGGGAGTGACGGGGGGGGGGGGGGTGCGCAGCCCCCCGGGAGGGAGGCGCAGGAACAGAAGCGGGAAAGCCGACCCGAGCACCCGGGTGAAGGGCGTGAGAACACCGGGGACTCCGGGGCCGCAGCGCTGCATCCGCTTAGGTTCTCCGGGAGACAAGCTTGCTCGGAACGACTTGGTTTCCGCTTTCCCCGGTACTGGGAGCGGGCTGCGCAGGCGGCCACGCGTGGCCGGGCCCGGCGCGCGCCGAGAGGCGCAGACCCGGCCGCGCGGGGGCGCTCTGCGGCGGCGGCGCCGTCCCGCCGGAAGGGCTCCCACCGTCCCGCCCTCCCGCCGGAAGTGCTCCCGGAAAACGCCCCGCGCGGCGCCTCGGAAAGATGGCGCTGGAGGCCGGCGACATGGAGGACGGGCAGCTTTCCGACTCGAGCTCTGACATGACGGTGGAGCCCGCCGACCGGCCGCTGCAGGTGCGGGAGGGAGCGGCCGCGGCCGCGGGGGGGGGGGGCGTGCGGACCCCCGCGCAGCCGGGCGCCCCGGGGCCGCCGCGGGCTCGCTCCCCGCGCCTCCGCCGCAGCGCCTGCGGGCGGATGGGGCAAAGCCCGAGCCCCGGACGAAGCCTGAGCCTGCGCGCGGCGGCCTGCGGCCCCGACCGGCCGGGCCGTGAGGCCGAGGCGGGGGCTCGTGGCTCCGGGCCTGGCCGCCTGCGCCCAGCCAGCCCGGGTCGCCGAGCCGGGCCGGGCCGCGGTGCGCCTGCGTGCCGGCGCTGAGCTGGACCGCGGGCCTGGGCGCCGCCTCAAGGCTGGAGCTCTTCCACCCGAGCCACGCCTCCACTTGTAGCTTTTTAGTGATCCGTTGGAGGTGAGAGCCTCGCGGCCTTTCCTGGCCTCAAACCGCCGTCCTCAGACCTCTGTCTGCCTCCTGAGTAGCCACAGGCCCAAGGATCGCTCCCTAATCCCCTGTGGGATGGGGTAGCTCCGGTTACCCAGCAGGGCTGGGATGGCGGGAGGGTACTGCCAGGCCCGGCATCGTTTCCCGTTTCCTAAGTGGGAATCTGTCAGGGCACTCCTCCTCTTGGAGAGGGTTTGGGCGCCTGGCTGCCTGCGTTCAGATTCTGGTACTCTCCAGGTCCCCCTGCTTTGGTAGCCCTGTAGGTGTAACTGGCATGATGCTCCACGCGAAGTGCTGCACACAGTAACTGCGGACTTAGTACTGTTGGAAGACCTCCCCCTTTTTAGTTTGTAATAGGAACTCAAGAAATACATGCTTTAAAACCAGGCGCCGGAGGCTCACGCCTGTAATCCTAGCTACTCAGGAGGCTGCAATCTGAGAATCTCGGTTCAAAGCCAGCCCGGGCAGGAAAGACCACGAGACTCATCTCCAATAAACCACTCAAAAACCGGAAGTGGCGCTGTGGCTCAAGTGGTAGAGTGCTAGCCTTGAGCTGAAGAGCTGAGGGACAGCGCCCAGGCCCGGAGTTCAAGCCCCAGGACCGACAAACAAACAAACAAAAAAAGACATACTTTAGTGTTCGGGACAAAAATGGTACAAAGTTACAGGCAGGAGTAAGTTCATAGTAACTCTAGTAACATATATTTCAAAATAGCGGGGCTGGGAAGGTGGCTCAGTGGTAGAGCGCTTGCCTTGCATGCTCAAGGCCCTGGGTTCAATTCCTCAGCACCACATAAGAAAAAAGCCGGAAGTGGCGCTGTGGCTCAAGTGGCAGAGCGCTAGCCTTGAGCTGAAGAGCTGAGGGACAGCGCCCAGGCCCAGAGTTCAGGCCCCATGACCAGACCCAAAAAAAAAAAAAAATCAAAATATTCATTAGAGCAACTGCTCAGGGAGCAGAGGCAAAAAGATGGCAAAGACAGAGCCGCCCCCCACCCCTACCCCCCCACAAAAGTAGCAAAAAAATAAAACGAAGGTGCGAGGGAATCAGCGGTAGAGTGCCTTCTTAGCCTGGGTACAATTCTCAGTAGTTGTAGGCCTATAAGGAGAAAAGAGGATTTTGACTGTTAGAGGTGATTGATATGCAAATTACCCTGATCTGACTATTATATAACATTTACATGGCTCAAAATGTCACATTGGACCCCGTAAATTTGAGGTTACTTACAGCAATCAAAAAGAAAAAAGTGGCCGGGCTCGGGTGGCTCACACCTGTAATCCTAGCTACTCAGGAGACTAGAGTTCAAGCCCCAAGACTGAACAAAAAAAGGGGGGTGAGGGAGTGGTGGGAAGAAAAGGAAAAAGTGAGACCAGACAAGGTGGCTTGTGTCTGTAATCCTAGCTACTTAGGAGGCAGAGATTGGAGAATCAAGGTGTGAAGCTAGCCCTGGGAAAAGTAGAGACCCTATTTGAAAAGTAGCTAAAACAAAAGAGATGTGGCTCAAGTAGTTAGAGCACCAGCCTAGTAAACACATGGCCATGAGTTCAATCCCCAGTAGCACCAAAAAACAAACAATACTTGTCCATATAAATGTCCTAGGAAATTGCTGCCGGAATTTTATTTTTCAGTCACTTTGCAGCTGTTTTTTTTTTTGTTTTGTTTTGTTTTTTAATCAGTTGACTTGCCTAAATTAATGCTGTGAAATTTCAACCTTATTAGTTTGTTTTTGAGACAGGGTCTGGTTATGAAGCCTAGGGTGGCTCTAAACTTCTCATCTTCCTGCTTTGGCCTCCCGCATGCTGGGATTACAGGCATGCACCACTATATCTGACAACATTTTTTTTAGTAGTCCATGTAGGCGGAATTAATGTGTTCTGTGGAGTTGACTGTTTTCTTTTACTTGCAGAAAACACTCGTGGGAGACAACACTGTAAGGACCTTCCAGAGCACTGCTACAGCATGTATGCCTATATCACATTATCGGACTGTTAAAAGTGTGGATTCAAGTGAAGAGAGTTTTTCTGATTCCGATGAAGATAGCTCTCTCTGGAAACGCAAGCGACAGAAATGTCTGAACCTGCCACCAAAACCAGAGCCTTTTCAGTTTGACCAGAGCAGTCAGAAGCCAGCTATTGCTGGCGGAAAGAAGATAAACAACATCTGGGGAGCTGTGCTTCAGGAACAGAGTCAAGATGCAGTGGCCTGTGAACTTGGTATCTTGGGGATGGAAGGCAGTATTGACAAGAGCAGGCAATCGGAGACCTACAATTATTTGCTTGCTAAGAAACTTAGGAGAGAATCTCAGGAGTGTACAAAAGATTTAGACAAAGAGCTAGATGAGTATATGCACAGTGGCAAAAAACCCGAGTTGAGGGAAGAAGAAAATGGGCAGAGTCATCTCAAACGGAAGCGACCTGCCAGAGACAGACTTGGCTCCAGACTGGAAATGGACTACAAAGGCCGATATGAGATCTCAGAAGATGATACTCAGGAGAAAGTGGCTGATGAAATTGCCTTCAGGTAAACATTTAAATTTACCTTACAGGGGCTGGGAAGGTGGCTCAGTGGTAGAGTGCTTGCCTTGCATGCCTGAGGTCCTGGGTTTGATTCCTCAGCACCACATAAGCAGAAAAAGCTGGAAGTGGATCGGTGGCTCAAGTGGTAGAATGCTAGCCTTGAGCTGAATTGCTCAGGGACAGCACAGCGCCCCCCCCCCCCCCCCCCCCCCGACTGACAAAAAAAAAAAATTATCTTACAAATGAGGACTTGGCCAAATGCCCTCTATTTACAGGAAGAAAATAAGTACTAAATATATATGACTCTTTTTGAGGGTTTTGGGTTGTTTTTTGTTCCCCCCCCCCCCCCCTTGGATTTAAACACAGTACCTCAAGCTTGCTAAAGCAAATTTATCTTTTGAGCCACATCTCCAGCCCTTTTCTGCTTTTTTGTTTTTGTTTTTTTTTTTACTTTGGGTTTGTTTGAACGTGTGAATACATTTGAGTTTTCTTAAATTTGGACAGTCCTGATCTGACAAAATAATGGTTTTTTAACTTTCAAACAATTTTCTCTGTAGTTAGTGTCATGCTGCTTTGAAGGTAAAACATACATTTTAAACTTGGGTTTTTGGTAGTATTTTAGGATTTGTGACTTTCAAAGAGGTTTTTTGAGAGCCAGGCACTACTGGCTCGTGACTGTGATCCTAACTAATAATATGACGTTGCTGTTACCTGGGAAAACTAATACTATGCATCTCAGTTTTCTCATTTGTAAACTGGGACAAAAAGTCCTCTTATAGGGGAAAAAAAAGTAGATTAAATTAGATTTTGTAAGCAGGGTGCTAGTAAATCAAGACCTGTAATCATAGCTACTCAGGAGCCTGAGATCTGAGGATCACAGATCAAAGCCAGCTCAGGCAGGAAAGTCTTTGAGTCTCCTGTCTCCAGTTAACTACAAAATAGCAGGAAATGGAGCTGTGGCTCAAAGTGGTAGAGTGCTAGCCTTTAGCACAAGAGCTCAGGGAGAGCACCCAGGCCCTGAATTCAAGCTCCAGAACAGGCAAAGATACTAATTAAACTTCATTGGGGTATATTTTACATGGGGTATTATCTCATTTTTAGTAGGTTTATTTTTTGGAGGTACTAGGGTTTGAACTCAGTGATTCACTTACTGAACAATAGCACTCCACCTCCACCCCACCCACAGCCAAGCTGCCAGTGTGAGTGTGGATTCTTTTGCACTGGGTTTACCACTACCATCATAGATCCCTCCCATCCACGGGTCCATCTTCAGTTAATCTGTGTTCTGATTCCTGGGCAGTTTTTCTGCTTTCTGTGTGAGTTGCCTTTTTTGGACAAATAGAATCATATATATGCTGTGTGCTTTTGTGCCTAGCTTTCTTATTTAGTAAAGATTTTGAAAGTGGCTCATGTTGTAGCCAGAAGCAGTAACTACTCCATATTGTGTATGTGGCTGTGCTTGCAGATCTTTGAACATGTATTTTCATTCCTTTAGGGTAAATAAGGAACCGAATTGCTTGATGGGTGACTAATTTGTGTGTGTGTGTCATAAATTCAAATTTTTATTAACTTGTTATTGAAAACAAATATAGATAAGAGAGGAAATAAAGTATTTTTCCTTCAAGCGTATCCCCACATTAGTACTGGATTTTTTAAAAATACAAAGTGTGGAATCTGAATTCTGAAAAGGAAGTTGGAGTTTAGAAACCAAAGCATTGGAGTTGGGAAGGTGGCCCAATGGTAGAGTGCTTGCCTTGCATGCATGAGGCCCTGGGTTCGATTCCTCACAACCACATAAACAGAAAAAGCCAGAAGTGGAGCTGTGGCTCAAGTGGTAGAGCACTAGCCTTGAGCTGAAGTGCTGAGGGACAGCTCCCAGGCCCAGAGTTCAGGCCCCTAACTAGAGAGAAAGGGATAGTTAAAATCAGAGCTAAAGCTAAATCTCTTTTGTTCATTTGTGCTAGTCCTGGGGCTTAAACTCAGCCTGGGTGCTATCCCTGGGCTTTTCTTTTTTTTCTTTTTTTCTTTTTTTTTGGCCATTACTGGGGCTTGAGATCAGGGCCTGGGCACTGTCCCTGAGCTTCTTTTGCTCACGGCTAGCACTCCAATACTTGAGCCACAGCGCCACTGCCAGCTTTTTCTGGTTATGTGATACTGAGGAATGGAACCCAGGGCTTCATGCTAGGCAAAGCATTCTACCACTGAGCCACAACCCAGCCCTATCCCTCTGCTCTTTGTGCTTGAGGCTAGCGCTCCACCACTTCAGCCACTTCTGTCTTTTTTCTGGTAGTTAATTGGAGATAAGAATCTTGTATTTTCTCTGATAGTTAATTGGAGATAAGAATCTTGTATTTTTTGCCTGAGCTGGCTTTGAACTGTGATCCTCAGATCTCAATCTCCTAGGTAGGATTGTAGGTGTGAGCCTCTGGTGTCCGGCCTGAAGCTAACTGCAAGCTCTAGTTTGTTCCTCGGTGTTTCCACAGCAGCTCACACACTGCCTCCCCTGCAGTAAACAAAGGGTAACCGATCTGATTGGAGTGTGGCCACAGTTCCTTAGAAGAGTTACTTATGATTAGAAGAGCTACCTGTATTTTTAGGCTCAATGGGAAAATGGAAAGAAATGTCTTGATTCATGATGTTGAAAAAACTGACATAATGCAAAGGTTCTTAGGATCATGCTTATTGTAATTACAATAGTAAATAATTGCCATAATCTGTAAATAATTGCCATTTCATTTTTTTTGTTTGGGACAAGATCTTTTCTTTGAAGAGAAGATCTATCCAGACATCTGGAATTAGGAGGGTGATTAGAAGCACAGTGTATGGTTAGTACTTGTCTTGGCAGGGAGTCAATTCTCTTTTATCATTTGCATTTGCCTTTCTTCACCACATGGTGAGGTGTATCTTCCCTTTGAAATCTGCCACAATGAGCAAGGCCAGTGAGAAATCGAGTGAGACTTGAGGTGAACCCTTGGGGTCACAGTCTCCTGCTCATGAGTAAGTCGGTTCCTTGTGGAAGCAGATGTTAATCACAATACAACCTTGATTCTAGTTGAGAAGTACACTGCAGAAGAAGGTAGATTTCACCAACTATAAGAAATAATTTTTTATTTGTTCTTTTAATCAGGTTACAGGAACCAAAGAAGGATCTGATAGCCCGAGTAGTGAGGATAATTGGGAACAAAAAGGCAATTGAGCTTCTGATGGAAACTGCTGAAGTCGAACAGAATGGGGGTCTCTTCATAATGGTAAGGCTTTTCACAGTTTCTGTTGGTCATTATGTAGCTGCTTTTTGTTTGGTTGGTTGGTTGATTTTGTTTTTGTTCAGTCTGTGGGGCTTGAGTTCAGGGCCTAGGCGCTGTCCTTGAGCTTTTTTTTGCTCAAGGTTAGTGCTCTACTACTTTGAGCCATAGTTCCACTTCCAGTGTTTAGGTAATTAGTTGGAGATAACAGTCTCACAAACTTTCCTGCCTAGGCTGGCTTTGAATTTTCTGATTTTTAAAAAATTCAGTTGTTTGAATATTAATGTAGTTGAGAGCAGAGTGCCAGGGACTGTAGGGAGCTGGAGAAAGAGATTTATTAACACACGCACACGTGCATGCATGCACAGTTGGTCTTAATTGTTTCTTGACTATATTTGAAAGTTTGGTAAGACATGTAATGTCATCAGTATTAGTTGTGTTTTCAGTCATTCCCAGACATGCAGACCAGAGTCAGTCATCTAGTATACAAATTTCAACTACAGCTGAACAAAACAGCATTGCCTTTTGTAGACAAGTGTCTTTTCAAGCAGGTTTTGTGTGTGTGTATGTGTTTTTTTGTGTGATTTTTTTTTTGGAAACTGAATGAGTTTATTTGAAAGTGAAAGTGAAACCGTGAAAGAAAGTAGTAAGCTTCTCCATCTGGAGGGCCCCAAAGAAGAGTCCTCAAGGCAATTTCTTTAGTGCTATGATTTTTTTTGGGGGGGGGGGGGCAGTCTGGTCGTGGGGCCTGAACTCTGGGTCTGGGTGCTGTCCTTTAGCTCTTCAGCTCAAGGCTAACACTCTACCACTTGAGCTACAGTGCCACTTCCGGCTTTTTTTTTTCTGTTTATGTGGTGCTGAGGAATCGAACCCAGGGCCTCAGGCATGCAAGGCAAGCGCTCTACCACCGAGCCACCTTCCCAGCCCCATGGTTTTTGTTTTTTTTTTTTTTTTTGACATTGGGCTTGAACTCTGGGCTTGGGCACTGTCCCTCAGCATTTCAGTTGAAAGCAAGCACTTGAGCCACAGCACCATTTACGATATTCTGGAGGTTAATTGGATGTCAAAAAGATGTTCCTGAAGGGCTGGCTTTCAACCTCTATCCTCAGATCTCAGCCTCCTGAGGATTATAGGCGTGAGCCACTGGTGCCTGGCAACTTTTCATATTTTCATGCTTTATTTTTCTGGTAATTTAATGCTTAAATTGGCCCCTATTGATAGTACTGAAGTGCTAACTAGTGTTTCTCAATACAGGAAAGGATGATTAGCATATGTTATTTGAGTTTTGAGAAAATACTATTTGAGTTACTACTATTTTATAGGCTAAATTCTCTGGTGTGATTTAAGAGTCAGAATCAGGACTGGGCTGCAGGTCTGTCATTTTTTCCTGTTTCCTTAGTTGTGTCTGCCAGAAGATGCTTTGGCTGTTTGTAGGAGGAGTCTATGGAGTTGGAGGGCTGGAGATATGTAGCTCAGTACTAGAGCTACTATACCCAGTGTGGCAAGGCCCTGGGTTCAATTCCCAGCACAGCAAAAAATAAAAGGAGTGTGTAGTTTGATATTTCTGTTTCTTTTGTAGAATGGTAGTAGAAGAAGAACACCGGGTGGAGTTTTTCTAAATCTCCTGAAAAACACTCCTAGTATCAGTGAAGAACAAATTAAGGTAATGCTTATGTTCTTGGCCTTTAAGATGCATGGCAGTCTGACTTCCACTCAGCCTGTAGGTCATGCTCTGCTGCCTTGCATGGACCTGTCCTGTCATTGTGTCAGTTCAAGTAACCATCATTTTCTTCCCTTTCAGATCTAATGTCATGACACTACATCTTGGTCTGCTGGCACCTAATTATTTTTTCTATCCTAAATTTTTTTTTGTTAATGAACATTTCTAAACAACAAAACAGAAGAATAAGATGACCACATACCTAGATGCTTAGCAATGGTTACTATTTTGGCATTCTACCTTTCCACTCCAACCAGAATCCATTCATTAGTTGGCTCCCTTTTTTTTTGGGGGGGGTGTCAGTCATGGGGCTTGAACTCAGCCTTGACGCTGTCCCTCAGGCCTTCAGCTCAAGGCTAATGCTCTACCACTTGAGCCTCAACTCCACTTCTGGTTTTCTGGTGGTTAATTGGCAATAAGAATCTCACGGACGTTCCTGCCTGGGCTGGCTTTGAACCATGATCCTCAGCTCTCAGGCTCCTGAGTAGCTAGGATTACAGGCGTGAGCCACCAGTACCTGGCTCTCATTACTTTTTTGGGGGGGGGGGTGCAGGGGGAGGGTCCGGTCATGGAGCCTGAACTCTGGGCCTGGGCGCTGTCCCTCAGCTCTTCATCTCAAGGCTAGCACTCTACCACTTGAGCCACAGTGCTACTTCCGGCTTTTTTTCTTTTTGCTTATGTGGTGCTGAGGAATCGAACCCAGGGCCTCATGCATGCAAGGCAAGTGCTCTACCACTGAGCCACCTTCCCAGCCCCTCCCATTACTTTTTAAACCAACATTTTTCACTGGTCATTTACACCTTTCAAAGAATTCAAGGTGATTTTTTACAGCGTTTGATTATCTTGTTACTGAGATTATCTGCTCCTGTCTTAATTCCAACTGTTCCTTTATCATCCATATTTCTTATGAACTGAAAGATAGTCTTAAAATCATTCTGGGATATAGGGAATATATTTACAAATCTAAAGTTAATGTGTTTTGCTTTTTCCTTTGCTTTTTTTTTTAAGCTAAGTAGCCAGGCTGGCATCAAGTGTATTCTCCTTTTGCCATAGCCTGCCAGTACTGGGGTTATATGCACGTGACCACAATGCCCAGCTGTTTAATCTGTTCATCAGGGAAGAGGCTTTGCATCTAAAACTTTTGACAGGTTTGGAATCAGGCCTGTTGGACAGGAAAGACGCAGAGCCCTGAACACAACTGCTCTAACAGGGTGACTGTACACTCTTCTCGGGATGTCAGCACACTAAATGCTCACAAGAATGTGTGTTACAGTCACTGGCTCTAATGCTGGGTGACAGCTTAAAGCCATCGACCTTGAACTGGTGCTTCATGTGAGTACCGAAGTGTCCTTGGGAATGGTTTTTCCCTAAAATCTGAATGTTCATTTTTGTGGCCTCTCTTTTTTTTTAATCTATAATTGAAATTCCTGCAGAAATGTGACTTAAATGATACATCTAAAATTTTACTTAGTAATTGTTTGCTCTCCTCATAGGAATAATTACTTTGATAACATGATTTATAGCAGTGTATGTTCCCATAAAGACACATGTTGGGTAATAGAGAGAGATGACTTCCATGTTCATTTCCTTCCTCCAGTGTAATGCGTGGAGAAGTGTGTAGTTGGAAGAGACATTCTTCTTGGGGTTTTATTTGATATCCAGGTGCCTCTTGCAGAAACATACATGCATTGTTAGTATGATACGATAAAAAATGAATTCTCTAAAATTTGCTTTGCAATTGTTAAGATCTGAGTTTTAATCTTTATTTGACCATGAGCAAATCAATTTTACTCAACTACAATTTTTTCACCAATGAAACTCTGAACGTTTTCTTGGTTATTCTGTTTGGATTTCTCTTTAGATCGCAGACCTGCTTTTCCTTATTTGCATCGTCAGTGACTCCACTTAGCAAGGCTCCCACATCGCTGCTTTCTAGTTTTGCTTGTTTATATATTTAGTGGGAACTAAATATATAGTGCTGCTAGAATAAGTCTCACCCTCTGGTGGTTATGCTCCTCAGGACATGGGTAGCAACTGAAGATGGCTTTGGTTGTCACAGTTGAGGCTGTGGTAGGTAGAAGTACAAATCAGGTTGCTGCTAAAAGTCTAGCAGTACACAGTAGACATCCCCCTACCTCTCCTGCAGCCCTCCCCTCCCCCCACACCCTGCAGCGTCACTCAGGGAAGCTGGAGCTAGCTCAGTGGCATGCTGCCATTTCTCTCTAGCACCCTAGTATGTTCTAGGTTCAATTCTATGCCAGGATGAAAGGTTTTACCATGCACATTTCTCATCTTGTGTGTCCTAAGCTGATTATTCTATGCCATGAAGACAGGTCTTACCACACACAATTCTTACCTTATCTGAAGTCATTTTTTTGTTCTTTTGAGACCATCTGTTCGTCCAGGCTGGCCTCAAGTTCACTGTCCCATGCTGGGATTACAGGCCATACCGCCATACCCCGCTTTCATTTTTTTTTTTTTTTGTAGAAGGAAGTGTTTTCACTGTTATATATTACAGACTGTGATAGACAATTTGCTCCAGGAAAGTTAGAATGAACTTGTGACTTTGAAATTATGTAATCACTTAATCACAATCAAAAAAAAAAAAAAAAAGAACCTGGGGGGAAGGGAGGGAGGGAGGGGATGGTAGGGGGAAAACATTGGAGGGGGTAACAGTGTTCAAGAGGAAGTATACTCAATACCTCACTCATGTAACTGTAACCCTCTGTATAGTATCTTTACAATAAAAAAAAAAAAAGAAGGAAGTGTTTTTACATTATGCTTGTCACATGGCTTTTGTTATTCACACACTTCAAGCATGGCTTTAGTTTCCCAGTATGGACAGTAGATTTCAACCCTGCACAACCTGATTTTCCTGCTGTGCCTTTGTATTCAGGCACTTTTAAACAGTAGAGATGCTGTGTTATGTAGAATGCAAGTGAACTTGAGCCCTGGCTTACAGAAGCTACTCCTACTTTATTATCAACTTGGCCTGTGTGAAATGATGGGCCTGCTAATAATACTCATTATTATTATTATGAGAAATGGAGACAACAGAGAAGGGCCTTCCTACAATGAACTTTCCATAAACAATAGCTTCTTTTGTTTCTTTTTTGGTTCTAACTAAAGCTGCTTTTATTACAGGACATTTTCTACATTGAAAATCAAAAGGAATATGAAAATAAAAAAGCTGCTAGGAAGAGGAGAACACAACTATTGGGGAAGAAAATGAAACAGGCCATCAAAAGTCTGAATTTTCAAGAGGAGGACGACACGTCACGTGAAACCTTCGCCAGCGACACCAACGAGGCGCTGGCTTCGCTGGGCGAGCCGCAGGAAGGCCGCGGGGACGCCAGGCTGGGCGCAGACGAGGCCTTCGAGGTGGACCACTCTCACGACCTGGACATATTTTAAGTGCATCGTGGACATTTTCTACACAGTGTAGTCAACGTTTCTGCTGTCTGATTTACTTTGTACTGACAGACATGAGAATCTGGAGGAGAGAGCTGTTTCTTGCTGTTAGTAATTGTTAATATTAAGTGGGCAAAGGAGTGTGACAGGGTGAAGCATTCGAGATGCTTGTGTCTGACACAGCACCAGAAAGTGTGCAGCACAGTATTTAACCTCTCCGTCGGCTGCATGTGCTGATGTGAATTATGACTATTACCAGCTGATACTTTGTCTTGACCTGGTCATGATAACATGCTATTCCAAACTTCTATTAGGTTCTGTTTCTGATTTGTCTTTGTGCTGAATTATGCTGTGGTTTCAGAACATTCCATTAGAGCCTGAGGGAACACTGAATTGTTACAAATACATAACTAACATATTCATGTTACTATCTTCTCTGTTGCTAAGAACTTGGTCCTTTGGAGTTTGGTTTGTTTGTTTAGACATAGGATCTCACTGTATATTTCAGGCTGGCCTCACACTGAATCCTCAGCCTCCTGGGTGTTGGGATTATAGGTGGAGACCACACCCCACCCCACCCACCCCCAGATGGTTTTAGGCAATTCTAAGGACCAGGACTTAGAACAAGCTTCTGTTGTCTGTCCTTTCCAGTTGTTTGTTTGTGGAGAAACAAATGTCAGAAGCTTTCAAAAGAAATACGGGTTCTTTTTGAATTGTACTTAAAACTCTGTGACCCACATCTGTGTTATTATCATGAACATTTCAAATTCCCAGTGATGGCCTGCCTAAGATTTGTTTTACCTTATGTTAAGGAAGCTAGGTATTTATGTCACATCTGCATGAAGTCTCAAATTGCTCATTTTTGTTAAAGAAAAAAACCAGTAAATATGTTTCTAGGGTTAACTAGTTTACAGAGTAAATTCAACAGAAATGTACTCATGAAACAAAAATTTGTATATTAAGGAAAAATATGATTCATCACTTACAAATGGTCTTTACAATGTATTTGAAGTCTTTTAGTAGTTCCTAAAAGTGTATTATTGGAACTTGGATCTCAGAAGGAAGTGGTTGTTAGTTGCTTTTTATTTATAAATTACGCAAAAATAAATTTTGTTTTTGGCAGTCCTTAATGAGCTTTATGCGTCTCTCATTGGTGCTGTTACTGAGCAATGCTTCATGAGCTTTATGCGTCTCCCATCAGTCTGGTGACTGAGTAAGGTCACATGAGCTTTATGCGTCTCTCATGGGTGCTGGTGACCGAGCAAGGCTTCATGCATGTTAAGTGTGTGCTTTTACCACTGAGCTTTCCACGCACCAACTTTTTTGTGTGTATACCAAGGTTTAAACCCAGGGCCTTGCACTTGCTAGGCCTACGCTTTACCTCGTGAGCCACACCCCCAGCTTTCCTTGCTTTCATTTTGCCCCAGCCAGCTGGCAGTGAGATCTTCCTGTTCACAGTTTGCGTGAAGTCGGGAAGGCGAGAGTGTGCTGCTGCACCCAGCTCCTGGGTGAGATCGAGTGAGGCTTCAGACTTCTTGCTTGGGCTGGCCTCCAACTGCGAACCTTGTAATCTGCACCCCAAGTAGCTGCAGTTTTAGGCATAAACTTGTCAGCGCTCAGCTCATTTTATTTCATAATTTCATTTTTTCATAAAATTGATAGGATTAGAAGAAGAAAAATATTTCAAGTAAATCACTGAATATTGACCCTGAGGTAGTGCGGCAGTCCTGTGAGGTGATTTTAAAGATGCACAATACAACATTAACAAAGAGAACAGACATGCCTCACATTTAAAGCCATATACTAGTGCAAATGCTTTTTCTATTGAAAATTGTTTAAAGACATTAGCACTGGGGATAATTGGCTGCACTGAGCCTCAACCCAGCTCTTTGCATTTGGAACTAGAGAGTTTTAGTTTGGTTCCTGCCCTACTCTCAAAGAAGCCAATACTCCTTAGACTTCTTAACATCTTCTATTGTTCTTCCTCTATTGATTCTTCTTCAAAAAAGATTCCTCCTCAAGCCATGTGCTGGTGGCTCATCAGTAATCCTAATCTCTCAGGAGGCTAAAACCTGGAGGATTATTAGTTGAAACCTGACTGGGCAAAGATGCCCCCAATACCATTACCAATTCACCAGCAAAGTGCCAAACTGGGTACATAGCTCAGATACAGTGCTAGCTGTGAAAGAAAGTCAAGCAAGAGTGTGAGGCTCTGAGTTCAAGTTTAAAAAAATTAAAAATTCAAAGCTTCCTCTTCAAACTTCTTTGGCTACCCAAATCAAGAGAGTTCCCGTATTGTTCCCAGATCTGTATTTAGTACAACTACAAACCATCATGTCTTGGAGTAGTTCTTCCTGCTCATCCTAACATTTTTCCTACTTGATGGCTAGTTGCTTTTATGCTGACATCCACCTCTCATAGTAATAGGAGTATTGCTCCATACTTTGCTTTGTTAAAATGAGTTCGGGTTGCACTGGCTGGCTCATACCTGTAATCTTAGCTCCTTGAGAGGCAGAGATTAGGGGATCTTAGTTTGAGGCCAGGCTAACTAAAACTTCAAAGAGACTCCATCTCATTCAATTACTGGTGGTGGTACAAACCTGTAGCTTGACATAGGAGAAGCGCCATGGCTGGATGCCTGTCCGGCATCCCCAGCAACACGGGGAACAAGAATAGGAGGATCCCAAACCAGGCTTGTTAGGGCAAAAAGGAGAGCCTAGCTTGAAAATAATCGAGGCAAAAAGGGAGCTAGGAGTGAGGCTCAAATGGTAGAATGCCTGCCTCGCAAGCAGAGTTAGTGAGTTCAGTCCTCACTGGGTTCTGGCTTAGACAGCACGTATATAGAAGTGAGAGCACAAATGGTTTATCAAGCGTTGTGTGCAGAGTCTGCAGAAGAAAATCAGACCAGCAAACAATAGAAGGCATATATGAAGAGAATGTCAAGTGCATAAAAAGAAAATAAAGAGCTGGGTGCCGGAGGCTCACACCTGTCATCCTAGCTACTCTGGAGGCTGAGATCTGAGGATTGCGGTTCAAAGCCAGCGAGGGCGGGAAAGTCCGTGAGACTCTTATCTCCAATAAGCCACTCAAAAACCAGAAGTGGCACTGTGGCTCAAGTGGTAGAGCGCTTGCCTTGAGCTGAAGAGTGCAGGGACAGCGCCCAAGGCCAGAGTTCAAGCCCCATGACTGACAAAAAGAATATTTGTGAATATTTAGTCCCTTATTTTTGCATGGATGTCATTTGCAATATGTCTGCAAGTATTCCCACTTTTATTGTTGTTTTTTTTTGGGGGGGTCCGGTCGTGGGGCCTGAGCTCTGGGCCTGGGCGCTGTCCCTCAACTCTTCAGCTCAAGGCTAGCGCTCTACCACTTGAGCCACAGCGCCACTTCCGGCTTTTCTTTTTGCTTATGTGGTGCTGAGGAATTGAACCCAGGGCCTCATGTGTGCAAGGCAAGCGCTCTACCACTGAGCCACCTTCCCAGCCCTGTATTCCCACTTTTAGATTGTCCATTATATTTTGTTTTTCAAGAAGAGGAATACTTTTGTTAGTACTGGTACCGGGACTTGAACTCAGGGCCTGGATGCTATTTCTTTTCTTTTTCCACTCTACCATGTAAGCCACAGCTCTACTTCTGGCTTTTTGCTGTCAAGTGGATATGAGTCTCACAGATCTTACTGCCCAGGCTGGCTTTGAACTACAGTCCTCAAATCTCAACCTCCTGGGTATGTAGGATTATAGGTGTGAGCCATCAGGCAGATTTTTTTTTTTTTTTTGGTGCGGGAGGGGTCCGTCATGGGGCTTGAACTCAGGGCCTGGGTGCTGTCCCTGAGCTCTTTTTGCTCAAGGATAGCATTTTACCACTTTGAGCCACCGAACCCTTTCTGGCTTTTGAATGGTTAATTGGAGATAAGATAAGAAAGTCTCACAGACTTTACTGCCTGGGCTGACTTCAAACCATGATCCTCAGATCTCAGCCTCCTGGGTATCTAGGATTACAGGCATGAGCCCACTGTCACCAAGCTCCAAGCAGATTTTTAAGATGCCACCAAACTGAAACTGTGTGCCAACCCTCAGCCTCTAAGGTAGCTAAGGGCTGTTATGAAGTCACACACATTATTATTACATCAGCGGCAGCAGCTCATCACAACTAGAGTCCAGGGAGGGAGATTCCAGAAGAGAAATGGATTCGGGAAGAGACACCAGTCCTACCTTACCCAAACTAGCCAACGATTACCCAGAGGAGAGCTCATCTAAACCCTCTCATAAGTGAGAACTGAAGTGTTCTGGGTCTTTGGTTTTCAGTGATGGGGGTGGAGCCCAGGGTTTCATGTTTATGGGCCACATGCCATGCTTGTGCTTGTTTTACTTGAGGTTTCAAATTTTCTTTTTCTCATGCTTTTTTGCCCATGGCTAGCCTCAGGGCACAGCTGTCCTCCCTAGTATCCAGGGTGACAGACACATTTCACCACGCTCAGCTTGGGGGCTAACATTTTCCCCTCCTAGCCTTTAACTCAGATCCTCCTGATTTTCACCTTCCCCAGAGCTGAGATGATAAGCATCTGACCACCCCTTCCCTTCCCTCTCCTCCCCTCCTATCTCCCACCCCCTACCTTCCTTTCTCCTACCTTACTCTACCCTATCCTTTTTCTGTAACTAGCCAAGTATTTCCTTAAGTATTTCCCTTTAAAGCCAGGTTACGGGGAATTGTGGGTGTTCGGCGTATGGACACTGCTGGACGGATCTTGGTGGTTGGTGGTGAGGGTGGGCTGAAAGGGTCGATTGCTTGCGTCATGTCCCTGACTCAGGAGGCTGAGAACTGAGGATTGTGATTTGAAGCCAGCCAGGGCAGGAAAGTTCTGAAGATCCTTCTCTCCAATAAACTACCAAGACACTAGAACACTAGGAGGTATGGCTCAAGTGGTAGAGTCCAGTTTTGAGCAAAAAAGAAAAAAGCTAAAGTGCCTAGGCTCTATGTCCAAGCCCCAGTACTGACGGGGAAGGGAGAGGGGGAGAAAATGATGATAAAACAACTCATTTTGTTGTTGGTGGTTGTGGACTTGAACTCAGGACCTGGGCACTGTCCCTGACCTTTTTTATTCAAGGCTAATGCTCTACCACGTTGAGCCACAGCTCCACTTCTGATTTTCTGATGGTTAATTAGAAATAAGAGTCTCATAGACTTTACTGCCCAGGCTAGCTTTGAACCTTGATCCTCAGATCTCAGCCTCCTGAGTAGCTAGGATGACAGACGTAGGCCACCAGTGCCCAGAGATAAAACAACTGTTAACCGCAGTCTTCTCTTCTTGCTTTCCATCTTCAGGTTGGGTGATATGCATTTGCCTCGGTTTTCACTGAAACAAGGAATGATCCCAACACGTTACGTTATGCCTTGGAAAGAATGTATGAAATTCAGGCATGTGAATGTGAAGGTACTCCCTCATAAACATACATAGTTTTAAAACGTATACTATTGAATATAACCTCTGGTTAGACAGACTTAAGTAGACCAAAACTATTTCACCAAGCTCTGAGTTCAAATCCAGAACCACAAAAAGCACCTATTTTTTGCAGGTTAAAAACAGGAGAATTCAGGGCTGGGAAGGTGGCTCAGTGGTAGAGCGCTTGTCTTGCATGCATGAGGCCCTGGGTTCCATTCCTCAGCACCACATAAGCAAAAAGAAAAAAGCCAGAAGTGGCACTGTGGCTCAAGTGGTAGAGTGCTAGCATTGAGCTGAATTGCTGAGAGACAGCGCCCAGGCCCAGAGTTCAGGCCCCATGACCGGACCCTCCCCCCCAAAAAAAATAGGAAAATTCAAATAACCAAAGCCAAAATCTAAAATAGGTACACCAAGTAACTTCAAAGCCAGTCAATTTGCTCGCTTGTAATATAAGGATGCTCAGCAGAAGCTTGCATCAGTGGCCTTCGCATATAATCCCAGCCTCTCAGGGAGGATGAGGTCTGAAGACTGAGATTTGAAGTCAGTACAAGCAAGAAAATCAATAAGGTTATTATTATTTTTTTTTTTTTTGTCAGTTGTGGGGCTTGAACTCTGGGCCTGAGCGCTATCCCTCAGCTCTTCAGCTCAAGGCGAGTGCTCTACCTCTTGAGCTACAGTGCCACTTCTGGT